ACTGGGTTGTCAATTTCACAATCTTACCTATTGGTAGAAATGATTCATTTCAAATACAAGATTCTCCTAGTGTGACAATACCTGTCTTGTGTGTTAATTTATCAGTTTCTTTCCACCTAATGCTACCAGAACCGCAAAGATTATAGCTTCTTAGTGAGGGTTGCTATGATGAAACACCATGACTAAAACAGCCTGGGAAGGAGAGTATTTGTTTGACATATCCTGAATTACATCCCATTTAAGTAAGCCAAGGCAAGAACTCAAACGGGCTGAAACTCGGAGACAGGAGCTGATGCAGAGGCCATGAAGGGTGCTGCTTACTGGCTTGTTTTCATGGCTTGCTCAGCCTGCTTTTTTGTAGAACTCAGAACCACCAGTGCAGGACAGGCCCCACCCACAATGGACTGGGCCCTCCCACATCAATCACTAACTTAAAAAAATGTCCTACAGGCCTGAATATAGCCCAATCTTATGGAGGCAATTTTTTAGATTGAAGTTCCCTGCTCTCAGATTATTCTAGCTTGTATCAAGTTGACACAAAAACTTAGCCAGTACAAGAGCATAGTTTGCCTAACCTGAATACGTCCATTTCCTTTACTAACGTCTGTTTCCTAAACTCTTCTAAAACATGGAAATTAAGATGACAGGCTATGAAGTCTGTTTCTTATGACATGAGGAGATAGAGCAATAAGCCTAGGAGAGAAGTGAAATCTCTGGGTTTTCTTCTGGAAAAATAAGGATCTTTAGAAATGCTATGCGTTAGGCTCAAAGACATACCACATACTTGACTCCTTGTGTCTGCTAGCAATTAGAAGTTAAATTAGGCACTTAACACTTCCTATAGAAAACAACCAGGAAAAGGGGGATTCTGGGAAGGTACACTATTTTAACTCCTGGAAAGCTTAAGGAATTCAGAGAAACTGATAACTCTGAATATTGAGTTTGTGGCTCTCAGATCACCTACTATTTAGGCCAATCAGCTTCCTTGCCCTGGTGATAAGAGGAAGCCGTTTGGGACCCCATGGCATAAATGGCTGTTGAGGCGTGGGGAAGGAGTTGGCAGGGATGCTGGTCATGCAAATGACAAAAGTACTTGATACCTGTGAAATAATATTCCTACTCCCTCAGCCCCTCCCTCCACCTAATAGTCACGTTGCTTTCCAAATGGGACGGTCTGGAAAATGCTAAAATGGAGCATTTTGTTTCATTCTTTGTTCTACCGTCTGATACAGGTTCTTGCATTGCCCCCCAAACTGGCCTTGTATTCCCAATACTCACGTGTCAGCCTCCCAAGTGCTGGCTTACAGCTCTGAGCCCACACTGAAGGCACCCTCCCATCCCCCACTGAAGAACCAAGTCAGCACTGTCTCCTATCCTGAGCTTTCTCTGTGCTTTCCTTGGTTTGAACGAGTTCATCTTTGTTTCCATGACCTTCCTATTTATGGAAGGACAAGGGAAAGAGTTCATTCACCGCTTTTAGCTCCATGAGGGCACAGGGGAACACAGGTGGGAAGATAGGGTGAGAAACACAAACACCCTCTTTTTTTTTTTAAGTGATACATAATTGAGCCCCCTTCATTCTTCCCACACAGGGAGAAGGAGCTCATCTTTAGTGACATCCCCCCTCCCGGGAATTGGGACCAGTGGCCATAGGTACATATAATCTTCTATATACACAAGCTATGTATAAGGAGAGGAAAAAGGGTTTTTTTGTTGTTGTTGTTTTGTGAATGTGTGTGTGTGTGTGTGTGTGTGTGTGTGTGTGTGTGTGTATGTCCTAAGTGCACACAGGGAACTAATGTCACAATGGCTTCAAACTGACTACATAGTGTTGCATGACCTTGAACTCTAATCCTCCTGCCTCTACTTTCCAAATTCTGGGATTGCAGGCATGCACCATCACACCCTGGGGACCCAGGGCTCTGAGCCTCCAGTGTGTTACCTGCATGATGGTTTATGGGGTAATTTGTACATTGGCAGAATAAGATGTTCCTCATGAGCTCTTTATGTTAAATTGCTCGTTCTAAAAGCATTCTACAACACTGATTGTACTTGTTTCAGACTTCGTGTCCTACTAATGGTCCTATTATTTGCCCAGTAAAGAGCAAACATCAAGACGTACCTAGTCTTAATTGCCAGCTTCCGGCCCTTACCGTGAGGCTATACAAGGAAGGGAAGAGACACACAGAAGAAAGAAACCGCGTTATGGGAGTGGGCTCAAGAAAGAAACCGCGTTATGGGGAGTGGGCTCGTCATTCCCCCTGCCTGGCATGCTCCCATCTCTCTTCTTTCCACGTTTCTGCTCAGACGTGACCTTTCCTCCTTCTTGATGTTTCTAAAATACCACCCCACCCCCCCAGCCCCCGCCTCCTTCACTTGACCCCGACTCCCTGTTCTTCATCCTATTCTGTGGTCTCTCCCACTAGAGTGCAGCAGAGCCAGATTGTTTTGTTTTCCAGCGTCCACAAGTGTGCTTGCAAAACGTCAGGTGTTTCAAATACTTGCCGGGTGGAGGAACTGTGCAATAAAGAAGGGGTGGTTTCTGAAGCAGCCCGCCAGCCCTTCCCACAGCCTCCGAGCAGAGAAACAGCTTCTGAAAAAAAAATGCACACCTCTCTCTCCTTGTGAGGTTTGCATCCCAAGGAAAGCCTGACCTGAGAACAGACAGAGCCAGTGCTGTGTGAGATAATCTCTTCTAGGCTCCAGGGGCCTCTAGGCAAACTTGAGCAGCATGGGAAGACTGTAGACATTAAATTGTGGCACATACTTTATGTGTTGACCGAGAGAGGACATATCATAGGTGTCTGGTGCAAGGTGGCAGTGCCATCCTACACCAGTGAGCTAACTTCAGGGCAGTGTCTGATTGGTCAGCATCAGCTCACTTGGTCAGGAAGCATGCTCATTCACAGCCAGCCTCCAAAGACCAGCTCCTCCAACATTTTGTTCAAAGCCCAGTTTCAGTGTGTGCTTCTGTGGCAGAGAATGACCACTGGGACAAGAAAAGATCCCAGCTCCCTGAAGGAAATCTCTTTTCATACTGTCCTGAACATTTTTATGATGACAAAAAAAAGTGCTTTTGAAAGGGAAGTTTGGACCCGTTTCTGCTGATTGGGGGTATAGTTTTAGCTTTCAGTGATCAAATGTTAACCATCACAGAAAAGGTGTTTTGCCTTTTCTGCCTGATCTATATATATATAGATCAGGAAGAATAACAGGAGAGAGGAAAAGAAGAAGGCCGACGAGACCACCTTTGTTCAATATTAGGGCATACCAGCAGTACTTGGATGTCAAGATGCCGGTAAAATTCAGTACTTTCAAGGAACCAGGGCCTCCAGGTTGTTAGATACCTCTGGACTCTGAAGCCTCCAACTGCTGAAGTGAAGCTGAATACATCCAGGCTACACTTTCTATTCTAGCTCTGCCCTCACAGTGTGCTGGCTAGCTGTATGTCAACTTGACAGAAGCTAGAGTTATCTGAAAGGAGGGAACTTCAGTTGAGGAAATGCCTCCATGAGATCTGTCTGTAGAGCTTTGTCTTAATTAGTGATTGATGGGAGAGGGCCCAGCCCATCCTGGGTGGGGCCATCCCTGGGCTGGTGGTCCTGGATCCTATAAGAAAGCGGGCTGAAGCCGGGCGTTGGTGGCACACGCCTTTAATCCCAGAACTCGGGAGGCAGAGGCAGGTGGATCTCTCTGAGTTCGAGCCCAGGCTGGACCGACAGCCTCCAAAACAGAGAAACCCTGTTTCGTAAAAACCAAAAAAAAAAAAAAAAAAGCGGGCTGAAGAAGCCATGAGGAGCAAGCCAGTAAGCTGCACCCCTTCACAGGAGCCTCTGGATCAGCTCCTGCCTCAGCCCCTGCCTCCAGATTCCTGCCCTGTTTGAGTTCCTGTGCTGACTTCCTTCACTGATGGGCTTGGATGTGGAAGTGTAAGCCAAGTAGACCTTTTCCTCCCCAAGTTGCTTTTGGTCATGGTGTTTCACCATAGCAACAGAGACCCTAACTAACACACACAGTGAGCTTCCCTTTTCTGAAGCATCTCTGTAGCAGGTGCTCAGAGGTCTGTTGATGAGTGGCATCCTGCCTCCAGGGGCAGTTCAATGAGGCAACATCCCAGATGGAGCTTTGCCTCTTGGAGAGCCTCCAGGACCATATACCAAGCAGCAGGGTTCTCAGGCTCCCTATTGCCAGGACCCTTTAACACAATTCTTCATGTTGTGGTGACCCCTAACCATAAAATTGTATCCTCTTAACTATAATTTTGACACTGTCATGAATTGTAAGTATCTGATATTTCAGGCTATCTGAGATGCGATTCCCAAAGGGCATGCAGGTTGAGAGTCACTGCACTGGGGTCTTCTGGGATCTACTTATGACTAAAGCTGGGGTCTGCAGCACAGGAATCTGCATTTGGCAATGACTCTAAAGTGATATGCCTGCGTGTTAACCTAGGGGTCTGCAACAACAAGGTGGTTTCACTACTGAGTGGCAGGGGTTGTGAATTCCTACCTTCTTGGTCCCCCGCAAGCTTCAGCTCCTTGGATTGTTGCTTTCCAGCTGAATGTTTGGTTCCCGCTTATGAACTTTAAATAACAGATTCAGTTCAGTCGATGGTACTCTTAACTCCATTGCTTAGCAAGCCAGAGCTTCTGGGGATCTGAGCTCCCTCGTGGCACATGGCTGCCTACCTGGCAGATGACGTACCTGGGCGAGAGGAGAGGTGGACTTCTACCCTCATCCCGAAACTGGCACTTCTCGTTTTTTTTTTTAGATCAACAACAGACTTGGCTCACGCTGAAAACAACCTGAGCCTGAAAACAAAGCAATCTGGGATTTAAGTGGGGCCCCTTGGCTCCTTTTAGTGACTTAGGCGGACAAAGACGTTGATGCTGGTGCTTGATTGCAGGCGAGGCGCCTAAGCCGCCAGGAAACTGCTAGTATCAGATGCTGAAACTCGCAACAGTGACACTGGAGACAAGCTTTTGGAGGGATACTAAAACTGACACTTAAGGTTTTTTATTTATAAATAAGATATGGACATATGGACTTGAGCCAAACTCAAGTGAAGAGTTCGGTTTTGTATAAAATACGTCTCTGTTCAGGATGAGGTACCTAGTCGAGGGACAGAACAGTGCAGTGTCAACATTTTTCATTCTTCTGGCTTCTGGAAGACAATCTCTTGAGTAAGCTCAACCTCCTACATAGGAATAAGTGATTAGAAAAGATAAATACTACTTAAGCACGAAGAAATATAAATATGAGTTGAACAAGTTACTTCACTTCATAAAAGCCTTTGAAACTGCTGGCTTTACAGAATACCCTTCGAACACAACCAGCCAGACTTAACATTTTTGGCTATTTGAGTTCTCTGGAAACTGAAGCAGGGAGGGAAAACAAAACAAAACAAAAAACCAAACCACCTCAATAGTGACATTTATGAAGACTCATGGGTAACTTAGAATACTGTACTTCAAGGCTCTGCACCTGTTTAGAAGCCTGTTGGCTGGCTGTGGTTTTGTTGTTGTTGCTACTGTGATTAACAGTATGCAAAACGTCACCCACTCTTGTCCCTGCTGCGTAAGAAAACCTGATCCCTCTGGAGAAAAGTGAAACTCCTTAAAAGCAGATGAACCCAGCCTATTATCTGGGAAGGAGTTTGGCCCCCGGAAAGGAAAGTTTGCCCTGCAAACAGCAAGGCGTTCAGGGTTCTGGTTGCAACGCACAGTTCAAGCAACCTTCAGACCCCAGGCGGAGCTCAGGTAGACGGTGGGTGAGCTGTGTCTACAGGTCTGAGTCACAGGGCAGCGAACTGTGGCACGGCCGAGTGCTACGAGAGGAGGATCCTCCCTGGGAGGTGGCCGGCTTCTCTTCTCCCTCAAGCACATTCACTGGGTTGGTGTAGGCCTTGGGTGGCGGCCGTGGCATCGGGAATCCGACCTTGAGCTTGCTGGTGGTCCTGGGCTCGGCGGGAGGAGGCCTATGTTGGCCTTCGCTGTAGTACTTGATGGCAGGTGTAAGCGCGGGCTCCGGCCAGTCCACGTAGACGGTGCTGATGCTGCTGCGGCGCGGGCCTGCGGAGGGCGCCTTGCGACAGCGGCGACAGCGCTCTTCGCACCAGGGCGCAAGGCTGAGCGCCAGGGAGAAGCCGCCCAGCAGCAGCAAGCAACTGCCTAGGTAGCCCAGCACCAGGCTATAGCTGACTTCCACGGTAACCGGGCTGTCCGGGGCGGGGAGGACGCTGCGGTCACCCAAGAAGTGGTTGTACCAGGAGACTGGGACGAGGCTGAAAAGGCCCGCGACGAAAAGCACGATGCCCGAGAGGCCGGCTAGCCCGAAGTGGGGCTCATCTTGCCAGCAGCGCACGCCGAGCGATGCCAGCAGTAACCCCAGGGCGGTGATGGCCAGTGACGTGACCATGAGTCCCCTGGCCGCCTGCACAGGCTCGGTTTGGAAGTAGTTCCACTCGTCGGACTGGCCGCACTGGCGCTCGCGGCTGCTCTGTTCGCGACATATGTCCCACAGACCCTGGTACAGCACCACGTCCATTGGCTGGTCCAGAAAGCCCTTCACCAGCCGCCAGCCCGGGGTCAGCGTACTGATGAGATTGAGCAGCAACCCGCAGGGCGTGAACACCATGCCCAGAATCATCACCACCGGCGTCCGCATCCCTCGTAGCTTCGCGGGTCCCCAGCACCCGTGCCTGCTCTGCTCCGCAGCGCACCCCGGACCCGGGGTCCCCAAGTCTGCTAGGCTGCCGAGCTTGACAGTAGCGATGCTCACTGCACTCTCTGGAGGCTCTTTGTCTCCCGCGCCGGACGGTCCCCACTGAGCCTCTCGCACCAGGTCCCCTCCTCTCTCTCGTCCCGACTGCTCCGCCCTCTCGCCCAACCGCTGTCCCTAATCGAAACTGACTTCGAGTCGGGTCAGACCGAAACCGCGCACCCAGGTTCGGCCCCCGCGGCCAAACCCTACCCCATGGGAGGGGCAGGAGCGGCAAGGACACCTGGTAAGAGGCGACCTCGGACTCTGAGGACCCTGACACCCCACCCAGACACGGCCGCTTGGCCCCGCCTCCCAAAACTGCTTAAGGATCGAGCAAAGGTCGCCCCGCCCTGGCTCCGTGGCACCGCCCATGCTCTTGTGGGAGGGACGAAGGGGGCAGGCGGCTGATCTAGTCTCACCTGCTGTCTGGCTGTACACCTTCACTTCCCAGGCCATCTATGTTCAGAAAGCTTTACCCCCGGGCGGACTCTGCCTGTGGGTCCCGACGACTTAAGTCTTCCTCCACTCCCAGATAGTGACCATTGTCCCTTGAAAGTTTTGCGCAGCCACTCATGGCTGGATGGTCCTCCCAGGACGTACAGGACCCGAGTGCACCACAGTTTCCAGGCTCAGGGTGTACCCAAACAGTTGCACTATGGAAACTTTGCTAGATTTGTTTAATAAAGACTCCAAGATTCGTATGAAGTTCAACTCACAATAAATGGAAAGTATTTCTGGACTGAGGAGCTGTAAAGGGATTTTAGTTTCAGTCTTGAAAAAAAAAATCAAATGGATTGTTCCGTTCAGGACTTGGCAGACCTATAATGCATTGCAGAAAACCCATGGTTTTATTTACTCTGAAATAAAACTTTCAGATAAATGCAATGGGGTGGAAGATAATTGATTATTGCCCAAAGAATACCAACTAGCATTTTCTTCACAGAAAAAAAAATACACCACAAACTTGTGATCAAAGAAATATAATTAGAAGAAGCACTTTATTCTCCTTGATTGACAAAAAATGAAAGCATCGGCAAAAGTGGGAGCTAGCTAGTGATTCCTGATGTCACAGTGTACAGCCTTTAATAAATCAGTTTGACAGAATACAATGTTTATAATCCACGTGGTTAGGTTCCTTTTTTAAAGGTTTGTATAATGAGCATATAAATGCACATAATAATGGGTTTCATGATGACATCTCATATGTGTACATAATGTGTTTTGCTCATTGACTACTACCTAGGTTGACAATGGTTTTCAAATTCATCTTAGCTTTCCTGTTTGCTATGTGTGGATTACTTGCATTCTTCTTAGATTTTCACATGAAACTGTTTCCCTCCTTAAAAACTGTCAAGTATTTGGCACATATTTACTTTACATTTGGGCAAGAGTCATGCTTTTCCTTTTAAATTGTTCTTGTACAACATTTTCAGTATTCTCTATATTGCTTACAATGGAAAGTATTTTTATAATCTGTTCTGATTAAAACTATTTAGTAATATCAGTCAAATTAGTGTTGTAGCAATTTAGAACATTCTACAGTGGACAATCCAAGTGATGAGAGGCAATACTTTCAGCTTTTTAAAAATACATATTTCAGCCGGGCGTTGGTGGCGCATGCCTTTAATCCCAGCACTCGGGAGGCAGAGGCAGAAGGATCTCTGTGAGTTTGAGGCCAGCCTGGTCTACAGAGCGAATTCCAGGACAGCCTCCAAAGCCACAGAGAAACCCTGTCTCGAAAAACCAAAAAAAAAACCAAAAAAACAAAAAAAAACATATTTCTAATTAAAAATTTAAAAGATTATATTTTAAACAATGTGTATCTGTTTATGTCACTGTGTGTATATCTGTACACAGGAGGGTAGATGATGACACTGGATCCCCGGGGCTGTAGCTTGAGGTGGTTTCAAACACTAGAAGTGGGTGCTAGAAACCAAATCCCGTGCTAAAGCACTGTCAGCTCTTAGTCACTTAACCATCCCCACATTTTAAAAAATTCAATTGTGGCTAAGGGTGCTGCCCTAGTTCGCTTTCCCATAAGACTCAGGACCACATGCCCAGGGTGGCACCATGAGCAGTGGGCTGGGCCCTCCTACATCAGTCATTAACCATGACCCTACTGACTTGTCCACAGGCCAAACTGATGAATGCAGTTCTTTAAACGAGGCTCCCTCTTCTGAGATGACTCTAGTTTGTCAAGTTGATGGAAAGCAACCAGCATATGGACCTGCTATAAAGTTTACTGGCTTACTCACTTTTAACTGCGTAGTTTTCCAGCCTGACGTACACTCCTATTGTGCAACTATGGCACTGCCCTGCTCTAGAACTTCTGGACATTTTCAAGTTGAAACTGCTAAACAGTGACAAGTGCATTCTATCATCCCTGCAGCCCTTACCAAACACCATTCTACTTTACCTCCACAGATTTAACTAGATACCTCACATAAGTGGAAGTCAGCTCTCCTTGCTTATTTCACTAAGCAGAATGTCCTCAAGGTTTTATGTGTGTTGTAACTGTATAAACGGAACACATGACCACTTCATGGTATGGCTAAAGGGGAGGTTATCTTATTACAGATATGAGAAAGAGAGAGCAGCCGGAGGCATCTGGAAGGGTCCAGGGCAGGCAGAGAAAGTAGTAGGATGGACATTGGCCAGTAGAAGCGTACAGCATGGGAGGAGTGGGGGAGGCAGAGAGGGTGGGGGGAGTGGAAGACAAAAAAGAGAGGGCAGGCAAAAGACAAGAGATCGCGGCTGAAATAGCAGGGTTATAGGGAGAATGAGTAACTAACTGCAGGGAGGGAAACCATGAACTGGAGAAGACTAGGGTAGGAGAGGAGTCAGAAGAGCTAGGATGACACTGTAATGGACTCTGAAATTTGCTACAGGTATTTGTGGCACTGAGAGAGCCTGGAGGCCAGCATGTGCTTTGGTATGCTAATAGGCATCACAGACAGCCATTTGACCCTACTGTCAGTGATAAGGAAAATGACTCCTTTTGGTAAAGGAGATCCAACGTCACAATTTCCTGAGGAATGCTGGCTTTTGTCTAACTGCCAGAATTTGAAGAAATGGAGCTACCTTTGGACCCAATAAAATAGCATGTATTGCTGTGAAATATTCCTGCACAGTGTGAAAACTTGTTGATCTCATTGTTAATAAAAAGCTGATTGGCTGGTAGCTAGGCAGGAAGGCTAGGCAGGACAACCAAACTGAGAATTCTGAGAGGAAGAAGTTAGTGAAGTCACCAAGAGAGATACAGGGAGCAAGACATATGCTGGAAGACAGGTAAAGACACGAGCCACATAGCAATGCATAAATAGAAGTGAATTAATTTAAGTTGTAAGAGCTAATTAGTAATAAGCCTGAGCTATCAGTCAAGCATTTACAACTAATATTAAGACTCTGAGTGATTATTTGAGAGTAGCTGCAGAACAAGAAAACTCTGCCTACAAAGTATCATACTTTTCTTGTTTCAACTCTGCAGTGTTTGCTATGGTGTTTGTGCCACATGTGTTTAGTCCATCATGTCTCAATGGATGTTGGGTGATTTCAACTTTTTAGCTATTGTGAGCTGTCCTGGAACTAGCTCTTATAGACCAGGCTGGTCTCGAACTCACAGAGATCCACTTGCCTCTGCCTCCCTAGTGCTGGGATTGCACCCGGCAATGATAGCATCTTTTTACTTTTCCACCTCACCTATGGGAGATCTGATTGCTCTGACCTTTATTTTAAAAAATTTTTAATATATTTCAGTTAGTGTATGTGTGTGTGTGTGTGAGAGAGAGAGAGAGAGAGAGAGAGAGAGAGAGAGAGAGAGAGAGAGAGAGAGAGAGAGAGAAGGGTACACATGCCACAGTGAATATGTGGAGGTCAGAGGACAATTTTGGGGAGTCAGTTCTCTCTTTCCACCCTTGTATGGGTTCTGGGATTGGACTCAGGTCATGGAGCTTGTGCAACAGGCACTGTTGACTGCTGGGCCATCTTGTCAGATCACTGTATTTGGTTTAAACAGATCTTTAGAAAATTCTGTTTCTTCATTTTCAAGAGTACTTTTGAATTAAAGTAACTTTGAAAAGTTTTTCACAGTATGAATATGGGTACGTTAGTGTTTTCCATCAGGGTTTTTACAGGTATTTACAGGAAGGATGGAGAAAGAAATGAATTGTTTAAGCTAAATGTGGTGGTGCATCCATGTAATCCTGGGGTTTGGGATGCTGAGGAAGGAGAGTTGTGAATTTGAAGCCAGCCATCACTGTATGGATACATCATATGTATCTCACTGTGGGTACATAGTGAGACCCTGTAAAAATATAAATGTTAGAGCCAGCCAACCTGTTGAACAGTACCTAACTAGGGGAATGGGGGTTAATAAAGAAAGAGACAAGACAGAAGATAGAATCAGGATGGCTCTCAGTGAATACTGCAACAGCTCTGAATTTATTTCTCATAGCCCTTTTATAGCCACAGCAAAAAGCAGGGGCAAAAGATTTCCTTACCATGGTTTAAGGAACAGACAAGCAAAATTACCACCTTAATTCTCAAAACATCTAGTAACCACACCTTTGACCAAACATCCAGTGTTTTGGCCTTGAGGAGCAAGAACGACTTGAACTCTTTGACCTTAAGTCAAGATGGAATGAAGTCACTGTGGCCTCCCACATATAAACAGGCTTATTTAGTGTTTTTGTTGGATGCCTGTAATTTACTTCTAGACTCACTATGATGGGCAGTATGGCATGAAGGAGCTTGCTTCCACGGTCCTGCAATGGGACTTGTTCATCTGAGCAGATTACTGTTAGATCTCAGAAAGTTCAAATGTCCAGAAATGGCAGGTTTGGCTTACTCAAGCTGGGACAAATACCTTGTCAAAGACATCCTCTAAGGCCAAGTATTAGAAGCTTCCCAACTCTGTCCCCCCTGTAGGGGCTACTTTTGTGTGTCAGCTAGAGTCATCAGAGGAAGGAGCCACCACTGAGGAAATGCCCCCAGGCGATAGATCCAGCTGTAAGGCATTTTCTCAACTAGTAATCAGTGAGGGCGGGCCCTGTACATGGTGAGTGGTTGATCCTGGGTTCAGTAAGAAGATGGGCTGAGCTAGCCATGGGAAGCAAACCAATAAGCAGCACTCCTCCATGGCCTCTGTATCAGCTCCTGCCTCTAGAATCCTGTCCTGTTTGAGTTCCTGTCCTGACTTCCTTCAATATGAATACCAGTATGAAATTATAAGTCAAATAAACCCAACTTTCCTCCCCACTCACTTTATGTTCATGGTGTTTTGCCACAGCAATAGAAACTCTAAGACACTTCCCAAGTCCCACATATCATTAAACCCTTGAGACAAAGGATTCTCTGGAAGAGAAGGGCTGGAGCCGTTAGTAGGACCAGATCCCTAGCTCAGGGTAGAGCGCTGGCCTAGCATGCCCAAAGCCCTGAGTTTGATCAGTACTACATAATAAATAAATACATAATAAACAAACAAACAAATAAATAAATTGAAATGGTGAAATAGCAGATGCTTGCCTGAAAAGGAACAAGTCCTGAGATGATTTCTCACAATTGTTAATAAATAAATTGAAATGGTGAAATAGCAGATGCTTGCCTGAAAAGGAACAAGTCCTGAGATGATTTCTCACAATTGTTAATAAATAAATTGAAATGGTGAAATAGCAGATGCTTGCCTGAAAAGGAACAAGTCCTGAGATGATTTCTCACAATTGTTAATAAATAAATTGAAATGGTGAAATAGCAGATGCTTGCCTGAAAAGGAACAAGTCCTGAGATGATTTCTCACAATTGTTAATAAATAAATTGAAATGGTGAAATAGCAGATGCTTGCCTGAAAAGGAACAAGTCCTGAGATGATTTCTCACAATTGTTAATAAATAAATTGAAATGGTGAAATAGCAGATGCTTGCCTGAAAAGGAACAAGTCCTGAGATGATTTCTCACAATTGTTAATAAATAAATTGAAATGGTGAAATAGCAGATGCTTGCCTGAAAAGGAACAAGTCCTGAGATGATTTCTCACAATTGTTAATAAATAAATTGAAATGGTGAAATAGCAGATGCTTGCCTGAAAAGGAACAAGTCCTGAGATGATTTCTCACAATTGTTAATAAATAAATTGAAATGGTGAAATAGCAGATGCTTGCCTGAAAAGGAACAAGTCCTGAGATGATTTCTCACAATTGTTAATAAATAAATTGAAATGGTGAAATAGCAGATGCTTGCCTGAAAAGGAACAAGTCCTGAGATGATTTCTCACAATTGTTAACTTCCAGCCTGGATTGCCGTTGGTCAGCTTTTCTGTTGCTAGGACAAAATGCTCGAGGAGGAAATACTTGTTTGGCTCTTAGTTTCGAAGGTTTCAGGACACAATAACTTCCCGTTTCCCCGGCTCTCATAAAGCAGTGTATAATGGTGAAAGAGAAAGATGCTCTTACTGTGGTCGGGAGGGGCACCGGGGACAAAAAAAATCTATCCTTCAAAGACACACCTCCAGTGATTTGTTTCCGCTTGCCAAAGGTCCACATCTGTATGCTCATCCTGCTATGTACTCAGCAATGGGTTAGGCCATTGAAAAGGTCAGAATGTCCCCTAACCAGAACCATTCCCCTCTCAGTGGCCCCTCCTCTGAGCACCTCTGCCTCAGACCCAAACCTTCAACACA